TCCTTCAGGTACGTGGAAAGGGAAAATTTCCTGACCTGTAAAAAGGTATTGTCGAGGTCCCTGTAAAGTCGGAAAGGGGGTTCGGAATTCCTCGGGTCCAGGAGGGCGAACCAGTGAGACCCGCTGAGAATCTGGGCCTCGGTCACAGCACACACCGGCGCCTTCACAACTTTCCCGCCAGGCTGAACATCTGCAACATCCAGGCATAGAGGTCAAAATAACGACAAGAAAAAAAAAAGAAGATTATAAACAACTTGAGCCGGAATTAGGTGAGCAAGTGTACTATTTGAACTTGCATAATTAATGAATCCCTGATTGGACAGAATTCCGCTGGAAAATACGGTATATATAGTCAATGAGTAGAATTAAAAGGGGTCCGAACGTCTAATTTTCTTCTTATTTCGTGACCTTTCGAAAACATTTTGTTAATAACTCGAAAATTGATGGCTAGTGAAACAATGGCTGGACAGAATTTCAGAAGAGAGTCGTTTATTGTGACTAGAGTGCAAAATTTGTCTCACTTCTTGTCATCTATTTTTAGCACCTTTAATTGTCATCGAATAGGTATACTTTCAAAATTTCCTACTCTCTCTTTATATAATATTAAGAGTTTATGACCCTTGTGGTCAACACTAGATTTCAAAAGTTTCCAACTTTTTGTCATATAACGTAATGATTTTTTTGGAGAATTGTTGAACACAACTTCAAAATGGTTGACCAACGAAAACCCGGCTGGACTGCTGGACAAAATTCCGATAAAAATCGTCTGTGCCTAGAATGGAAAACTTCTCAACCTTCTTGTACTGTAATACAATTGCATGGCTTTTCTGCAGAGATTATGATTTAAATTCAAAAGTTTCGAACCCTCTATATTTGTCATTGAATTGTTTGTTTTTTGAAAACGTTTTGTAAATGCATAGTAACTGGAAAATGGATGACAGATGAAGGCCCGATTTGAAAGAATTTTGCGAGAAAATAGTCTATATATTCAGAAATTAGACCTTCTAGTCATCTAATTCCATGATCTTGCTGTAGTCAACGATTATAATTAAAAAATGTACGATTAACGTGTATAATTTTACGACCTTTCGGAAAAAAATAAATGACTATATTGAAAGCCTGGTTGGAAAAAATTCCGCCAGAGAATAGTCAATGATCAATTTCCAGAGGTTTCGAACGCCCTTATCTAATTTTAGAAATAAATCCAAAAAAATTATTTTAAAAGCAGGAAAACCTTTTTCTGCGCAGTTCATGGATAAATTATGAAAACCGTACTAGTCTCGCATATGTTTATCCTTGGGATTATTCCTTGCATTTTCCTTAATGGTAAGTCTATTCCACGGAATAACGTAAAGTCTCTTTTATGCAAATGAACCAGAGGCAGCACGATAGATAAAGTAAATTGATAAATTTGAAATAATTATGAGCAATCTTCAGCATGTCGCAAAAGGTAGATTTGATCATGCAGGGAAGAGAAAATCTTGTGTTAAAAAACGATCAAGCTCAAGTTACCTGTCAAATCGGTTCTAGAGTTCGGGCGAATTCCTTCAAAAATTTTATGACATATCGTAATATTTCAAAATGATTCATGTCTAACCGTAGACAGCATACGCTGAAATTGAAACCCTGCAAATCGTCAGTCTCCTCTCGGAACACGAAAATCCACCCACTGCTTCAATAATTTTTGAAATCACATTTCAGCAAGCCTTTTTTTGTTTTTTTAGTGCAAAAAACGATCTTGTGTCATAAAAAAGGCGTATAGTTCAAGTTACCTGCCAAAGCGATTCTAGAGGTCGGGCAAATTCCTCCAAAATGTTTATGAACTGTTATAATACTGTACTTCAAAATTATTCATGTCTAACCCTAGACATAAAATTGAAACTCTGCAAATCGTCAGTCTCCTCTCGGAACAGGAAAATCCACTCACTGCTTCAATAATTTTCGAAATCACATTTCAGCAAGCTTTTTTTGTTTTTTAGTGCAAAAAAACAATGTTGTGTCATACAAAAGGTGTAGTTAAAGTTACCTGCCAAAGCGATTCTAGCGGTCGGGCGAATTCCTTCAAAATCTTTATGAAATATCATAATATTTCAAAATTATTCCTGACTAACCCTAGACATACGTTGAAATTGAAATCCTGAAAATCGTCAGTCGTCTCCTCTCGGAACAGGAAAATCCACGCAGTGATTCAATAATTTTCGAAATCAAATATCAGCAGGCTTTTTTATTTTTTAGTTAAAAAAAAAAACGATCTTGTGTCAGAAAAAAGGCGTGTAGTTCACTTTACCTGCCAAAGCGATTCTAGAGGTCGGGCGAATGAGTTGTCCTTCGAGAGGCAGGATGACAAGCGGAATGCTTTGTGTCCGGGTCTCGTCCATGAAATCCGCCATCTCGCATTCTGCAAGAGGGAAAATAATGGCATCATTTTCCGTTTGATCTTTTTCCAGTGCCATAAAAGCGGAAGCAATCCCGATTCACCCGCATATTAAAATACTTGTTCCCCGCGGGGAAACTGGAATGACATTCAAAGGCCACGGCAACATTATACTGTAGCACCGTTTTCATGCTTTCTGCTCCATGCAAGCAGCGTGAGTATATGCGCGAACTATTTTCACCATGCCTCAATGTGCAAAATTCACGGAAATGAAAAACTGAACTGAATTTTCGCGCAGTTTTTCAAAATCATTCCGTGCGACGCCAGCAAATAATTTTTTCTCGGACTGAGACGATGAGAAATTATTTCCACGCAAAGGAAAATTAGTCAAGAATGGATCGTGTTTTTTATTGTTGCAAAACTGATATTCCCAAATTTTGAAAACCTTTGTGTAAAACTTTGAAAGATTACCTATGCACATTCATTCGAGATTGCCAGTAAGTGCATGGGAATTATTCTCATTCCCTGATTAGACTCATAAAATTATGAATAAATAGGCAAATAATGCCACTAAGCATAAAGCTTATTTGAGTGATTCAAAATTTAATTCACAATTTAGCAGCATTTTGGATATATTTTACGAAGTCGGACGAAAGGTAATATTAACAACAACTGAACTATTTTAAAAGGAAGCATCCATTCAACAGCAAAAAAATTCTGACTGAGTAATTTCTCAACCTTAATAAAGTGGAAAACCTTGGGTTTTTGAAAAATGCCGAATTCAGAAACCAGTTTTCAAAGCTTTTCACTTCTCCCCGAAAGGAGAAGAGCCAGGCACACAACGTGTTTTTTGGATATGAAATCAAGATTTGCTAATTTCCCTCATCAGAATTCTCAACTTCACTATGGAGATGGAGCTATTCAAAGCGTCGAAATGTTAGTGCATGTAAAAACTTTTTTGAAAAAAAATGAATTTCACAATTTCGAGAACAGTTTGAACGTGTATTGAGTTCGTTTAAATATTGATGCTTCTGTCTGCGGATTTATCCAAATGGAATCCTTCAACGATTAATCAGCAAAATTACGAAGGAATTATTTCTGCACACCGTAAAAATGAAAAAGGAAATTTTTTCTTTCTCGGTTTAAGGAAAGATTCAAAGATTTGAGGAAAAAATTCGAGCTTTTTTTGAAGAAGCTCAAAAAAGTCGTCAGTGTGGAATTAAAATACCTCTATAGATTCGTTACATTGCAATGAGACGGGAGATTGCTGAATGAAATTGATTTTTTTCATAAACCCGACCATGAACTACCTCACACAAGTGAAACCACAATATCTCAAAAAATTCTGTGCGCGAACAATTTCAAGCAAGCTACTGAAACGGAAAATCTGCCCTTGTTTTATATCTCCCCCCCCCCCCATCCCACCGCATCCTCAAAATCACGATTCGCCCGGAAACTAGACGAAGCAGAAAACCAAAATAAAAAAGAATAAGAATTTCGAAAAATAATATATATCTAGATCAACTGGTCATGCGTAGAAACCGAATCCCGAAACCGCAAGAACACAGTGAGCGTCCCTGTAGACCCGTGTTTATCCACCTGCACGCATCCGGGGGAAGGCAAAGGAAGAAAACTGCTGTGCTGGGCTCATCATCACGAAAATCTCTTTTCCCGAGATAATCGCACGCCAAAAAAAAAGAGCATCGAAATACCAGACAAAGAATCGGAAGAAATGATACCGTTATATATGTCGGATATAAATTATTTTTCTTTCCTTCTCTCGGGAGCGACCCTGAATAAGAAGATAAATATGCCAGGTAATCGTTATATGCGGGCTCACTAAAGGGGCGAGGCAAAAGTTCTGAAACTCATGTGGAGGAGAGAATGCAGTGAGCAGAACCCAGTGAAGATTTTTTTTTACCTCTGCAAACTTAAATTTTGATCCAGAATTTTTTTTTACACAACCTTCCTTGTGAAGGATCACATACTAAAATCTTTTTATTTATTCCTTCTTTATCTTCACATATTTATACCTATGTTTGGATTTTGATTTGTATACAAATTCAATTTACTCGCATCTGTAGTGTTTTATGTGAAATGATTCATTTCTTTTACATCAAATTATAGCAATAATTCATTCTGAAAAAAATTCGGAACATATATTCAAGGTGTCCCTTTGAATATATTTTCTTGATTTCAAACCAGCTGATTGCCTCTGTTTCTACCACTGTGCCTTCATCATACTTTTTTGTCGGGTTTCCACTAATTTTCATCAACTCAGGCATATTTGTGATTTCAGTTGATGTGGTTGCAATTTTTAAAATTTCATTTCATTTCACGAATCCATCCTTCATGTGAGAACAAGATTTTCTAAAAAAAACACATCCTGAAAACATATCAGTAGGGTTGAAGAGTGTCTCCTGGTGTCAAAACCCGCGAATGAACTGCAGAATAAGACTGCATTCTAGTTTAAAAAGAAAAAAACACAATTAAATCTGCAATAATTTCAATCAACAAACGAAAGTTTTCCTGATTTGAGGGGTATGGTAATATAATTTTTTTTTCAGTTTTTAGACTGCTGGAGAAAGTTGTGTCATCAGGGTTTTTCTGTCAGCAAAGATCCTTTGATATTTTTCTAGAATAGGCGAAACAACGAATTCATTCTTGAAATGAAAAAAAAAATAATAATCTCCTGCGCTCAGCTGTGATATACAGTATTTTTGAGAAACAGATCTTTAAGCGAGTGTATTCATGTCCTTCACTGAAAGTTTTATAAAAGCAGACGAGATAATGAAATATCTGAAGTCTGTAAACAGACTTCAGATACAGTAGTCTGAAAACTTTTGAAAAGCCTTTCTAATGTTTCATTCGTGATGGGGATTTAGGAAAATTTCCTCTTCCGTCTGCTCCCGAATCACGACTAAACGGAAATCCTTGAGAACGTGTTAAGATTTCCATCATTCCATCATACACCATTTCAAGAACTTCCGGTCATTTTGTGCCCCCTCCCCACTCCAACCTTCACGCCTAGATCATCGAATGCATAAAAAGGGATTTTAAATGCTTCCGTGAAAAAATAAAGGGCAAATTGACTTCCAAATTTTAACCCCACAAAAACTGACGAGTACGCCCATCGAATTCCAAATCACTTAGTGACCTTTACTTTACATGAACCCATTTTCCAACTTATTGTTCCGGTATTTTGGAGAGTACGAGTGCTTCCATTAGGTTTAAATACTGTATATTTGTTTCCGGTTTTTGAAAGAAAATCTCCCAAGTAAGTGAGAACTTCAAAGACATAGTATTCCTTCTATAATTGCACCTATCTGCAACAGTTCAATAAAGCTTAATTTTTACGAAATTCATTCACTGAAAATTTGGGGGGGGGCGAAAAACTAATGGTAGGTAATGGATGGAGAATACCAGTGACATCTACCCGCACGAAAGCACTTCTGCATGGGAGCGGACAAAGAGAGAATGCATTACAGCACAGTATATGAATTCATCCAGACTATTCTAAAATGATTTTTGTTTAGCGATGATTTGGAATGGCGTGTCAATTCAAAGGTGTAGGTAAGCCAGTGATAGAACAAGAAAAATAGACACAGTACTGCGATTTCTCCAATTAAAAACTCAATTTGTTACGATAATTGGCACATAGTTTGATTATTCTCAAGTGACCATGACAGATTTTTAACTTCACTAGCATTCGGCTAGCGGATGTTAAAAAAAATCTGCTTCTTCGTTGCACTAATTGGATTTATTTTCCATAATTTAAATGGAAATCGAGCACACTCTCGTAAAGCTCGTTCAACCCTTGATTAATTTCATTTTTCCCTTTGTGGGTGATCAATATTTTGAAACTTTTTTTTCGTCTGCCTGGCATTAAAAAATTCTCAAGTAATTTATGACAGATGTTTTATTACGTCATTCATTGGACAAATGCGCGTAGGAGTACGAACCCAGAGGCACTTTTTGTGCGAGAAAGATTCATCATATTTTCTGAGCTGGTTTGCATTTCTTTTTGCCTGATGTATTGTAGTCTGTTGCCTATAAATTATTTAAAAAAAGGCTTCTATAAATATTTCCTGATCTCCCTACCGCATTCTTGGCTGACAGTTTCCACGTTTCTCCATTTCCCCGAGCTTATTTTCCCATAAAGTTCCCGGCGAGAACAAGTGAAAAATGCAGCTGGAATGTTTATGGTCCCCCAAATCAACGCCGTTCGTCATTTGGGGGGGGGGGGGCGAAAAACTAATGGTAGGTAATGGATGGAGAATATCAGTGACATCTACTCGCACGAAAGCACTTCCACATGGGAGCGGACAAACAAAGAATGCGTTACAGTACAGTATATGAATTCATCCAGACTATTCTAAAATGATTTTTGTTCAGCGATGATTTGAAATGGCGTGTCAATTCAAAGGTGTAGGTAAGCCAGGGATAGAACAAGAAAAATAGACACAGTACTGCGATTTCTCCAATTAAAAACTCAATTTGTTACGATAATTGGCACATAGTTTGATTCTTCTCAAATCACCATCACAGATTTTTAACTTCACTAGCATTCGGCTAGCGAATGTTTAAAAAAAATCTGCTTCTTCGTTGCACTAACTGGATTTATTTTCGACAATTTAAATGGAAGTCGAGCACACTCCCTCGATTAGTTTCTTTTTTTTTAATGTGGGTGATCAATCTTTTGAAACTTTATTTTTCGTCTGCCTGGCATTAAAAAATTCTCAAGTAATTTATAACAGATGTTTTATTGCGTCATTCATTGGACAAATGCGCGTAGGAGTACGAAACCAGAGGCATTTTTTGTGCGAGAAAGATTCATCATATTTTCTGAGCTGGTTTGCATTTCTTTTTGGCTGATGTATTGTTGCCTGTTGCCTATAAATTATTTAAAAAAAGGCTTCTATAAATATTTTCTGATCTCCCTACCAGTAAGAACCGACTGTCAAAGGTGCAAAGAGGTAAAGGGGCTCGAATAAAAGGGTATTTCAAGGGCCGCTCTTGTTCAC